GTATTTTAATTACTCATGCATGCATATATATACATGAGTTGCATGATAAAATCTATGAAAAGTGTAATCTAGAACACAAAGTCTAAAAATTAATAATTTCAATGACAAGTTCTTGAATAAAATATTTGTCGAGTTCAAGTTGGAATACATGCAAATTATGAGTGACCGCATTCCTTCCTCCACCGTTGTACCTACTTAATGGAGGATGCAGCATAGAACACAAGGAGGGGCTTGTTAGTTTCTTCCTTCCCTTTCTTCCCCATCCCTTCTTTCTCATCCATCTTCTTCCTTCTTCCTCAACAAAAATGGAGAAGGGGCTCAAGGGGGAGCTTCATTGTGTGGGACGCGGTAGGGAGGCCTTGAGCCCTGCCAGCCTCACCCTTGGATGGCTCCTATACCCACTGATTAGAGTGTATTGAAACTTACCTTTGATGATGAGTTTAACCTGAAACTCGGTATGAATAAAAGAAAACTCAAAGTAGCTACTTCATCCCTCTCAAAATATATGTAGTTCCGAATTTATCATAAGTCAAACCATTCTAGGTTTAACTAAAATTACTGAGAAGAGTATCAACATCTGTCAAAAGAGTAAAATATTAAATATATTTCATTATGAGCGTAAGTATTATTATTGTTTCTGTAAATTTAATGAAATTAGTGATATTTTGTTTTAGGATAAATTAAAGTCTTTATATTTTTAGCACATATTAAAAGCCGTGGTAATAATAAATACTCGATGTGTGTAACTACAACGTTACTATGGGCTCAGTTTCGAGTGGAGGCTGGTAATATATACATGAATATGTGCATGTAAAAAATCCTGATTAGGAAGTTGCTTTGGCGATGACTTTAGCGAGGACAGGGGTGCTACGTGCGCACGTGCGTGGCAGCTGAGAGCAGATGATGCCTCGTCAGTGTCAACCATATACAATTGCTAATCCGTACTAATGGTGGGTTTAATGAAAGTTACTTTGACATTAGCAGTATACTACGGGATGCTATTGTAGAACTGGAATGGAAAGATGTATAATACCCTTTCAAAATACCCGAAGTAAATTGTTAAAAAGACATCGTTCGGTTTGATATGTATATTCGTTTCGAGTATACGTGTTGAACCATACAGTAATTTTTTGCTGATTTTGTAAGTCACAGACATTTCTTTGGAAGTTCTGGTGCAGCTTGACAACGTTTTGATTTACTTCTTCTTTTTTGCAAGTGAACCATATTTTGATACCATTTTGCACACCGTTTCACAAAAGAAATAAGCTGAGCTATTTGGACCCTGAGATGGGGCATCCAATGAGGAAACCAAACACCATGAAAAGCATGTAAAATTGTTTGGACCAGGATTTAGCCTGGTTAAGCTATGTGATTAAGGTGGACTAGCCACAAGTTGCAAGTTGCTAGTTGCAGCCTAGAAAATCATCATGGATTACGTTGCTAGTTGGAGTACATACGTACGTTGGCGCACGGATCGCGCGGAAGGTGTCCCCCTCTGTCCGTGACACACGCTGCTTAAACTAATCGTCCACCGCCTCCGCTTTGACAGCTTGCCTGCAGCACCTTGACCGAGATAGGATTCTCCGTGGCCACCTCTCAGGTCTCGCCGTGTCAGTCCTTTCACAACTCTATCTTTTTCTTTCCTCCACTGATTTTTGACCTCGTGGGTCATTCGTTTTCGAACCATGCTGTATACAAAAACTATAAAGTAGAGATTTCTACCGGGCGTACTCACTCATCCAAAAAAGCTACGATTATACTTTAAACTATATCATTTTAAAAATAACTATATTTATAGAAAATAATGTTAATGTTTCTTTAAATAAAATTACTATAAAAATATCTCTCCCAAACTGGCACTTAATTTAGGAGTTAGTGTCAAACTACTAACTTTGTCATTTGATCTGTGTGAATCTAAATGCATGTTGACCAAAGGTGGCAAAATATATTTTATGACGCTCATAAATGATTGTACTAGATTTTACTACGTGCACATATCAAAATCAAAGGATAAAGTGTTGTGCTATTTAAGATGTATAAAATTTATTAGAAAAAAACTTGAGAGGAAAATAAAATAGTCACATTCTAATTATGGTGAGTACCCCCTCTGTTCTAAAAAGATTGTGCTATAGGATTGACTAGATTTATGGAAAATATTACCAATATATGTATCTCCAAGTAAGTTTATTGTAAAAATATATTCAACGATTCGTCTAATGATACTAATTATGCATCATAAATATTAATATTTTCTTATATAATTGGTTAAAGTTTAAAATGTTTAACTTCTTGAGAAGTGAGAATGACGTTTTTTGTGGGGTGAATGGATGAATGGAGTATTTTTCAAGTGAGTTTTCCTAGTTCTACATGGAACATAAAATTATTGATGAGAGTGCGTCACTAAATCGAAATCGAATGCAGAGCAGTCAGTTCAGCACCGCCGTAGCGTGCCGGACTAATCTTTGTTCCGCCAAAATGATCTCTTTTTTTCCCAATCCAAAACGAGCTGCTCTTCTCAAGTTTATCGTCATCCAGCAATCGTTAACGCGAAAAAGGCATTTACATATACTGATTCCACGTTCTAATGTGACTTTTTTTAGTGGATCTAATATGGCATTTAAAATCAAAATAGAAAGATAACAATATACCCATGAAAGCCCGTTCTCAAAAGGAAGCCTGATTTTGGTACATCGATGGAATATCAAGTTGGCCCATTTAAGAAACCCAGAAATAGGCCGACGCAGGGAAACAGCCCAGCCGAATACTCTGAGCTCTCGTAACCCAACCTATCGTGTTGATGGATAGATGGTGCCTGCAGTTTCCTTTGCTGTTGCGATGACTTGCGAGGCACAGAGGCGTTTTGGTTGTCTGGAAAGATTCGGAGGCCCACGGTCAACTAAGCGAAAGTTTGAAGTGTGGACCAAATTTGCCTTGGTTTATGTCCAAAACGCTCTCTTTTTTTTATAACTAACGCTCGTGAGATATTTGGTTCCAAGAGAAACTAGTCGTAAAAAAACGCAGATGGCACGAGCTTGTAGAATGAAGTGAAGCGTTAGGAGGAGCTCGAACTCCGTTGCTCTATTGCTAGAACTAGATCCGTCACTGACGTCAATTAAAAAAAAAGACCAATTAAAAAGTTGGGCGAGGCGACTTTTATTCTTTTTTATGATGAGTGGGAGAGTACACGCCGCTTTTAACGTGCAGTGTTCCTGCGCTCTACGGATTCGTTAAGGTCTGTTGAGTTTCTGATTCATCAATTAATATGCATAAATTGTTTCACGGCACTCAAGGCATTGAATTCCCACGTTGACCTGACACAACCATGACATAGTACTGGGTACTCCCTCAGTTTCAGACTATAAGGGCAAGTTTAGTTTCCAAAATTTTGCCAAAATTTTTCAAGATTCTCCGTCACGTCGAATCTTTGAACGCATGCATTAAATATAAATAAAAAATAAAACTAATTACACAGTTTAGACGAAATCTACGAGACGAATCTTTTAAGACTAATTAGACTATGATTGGACACTAATTGCCAAATAACAACGAAAACCGCTACAGTAGCATTTTGCCAAATTTTTTGGCATCTAAACAAGGCCTAAGTTGTTTTTCTGTTTTCGTATATCTATTTTATTATGCATCTAGATAAATAATTAGCCTTGTTCGTTTGAGCTTAACGGTCTGACTTATCGATAATGGTACAATATTTTTTTTCACAACAAAACAGCTTTAGTCGGCCGCTAAATCATCAACCAAACAGCTCGAATATGTCTAGATATATAACAAAATGGATGAACTAAAAAAATTAAAGCGACTTATAATTTGGAATAGACAAACACAAATACTTTAGATTGCCCGAACAGAGGGCACAGATATTTTACAAGTGTCTGTGACCCGGGCACACTCCGTCTTGCAAGGGTAATTAGCATTGTAAAGCATAAACATGTCACGTACGACCGTCTCGCACGGGTAATTAGCATTGTAAAGCTCACGGCAGCATTTTTGTTTTTATTTGATAATTAGTGTTCAATCATAGACTAATTAGGCTTAAAACGTTCGTCTCGTAATTTCCAACCAAACTGTATAATTAGTTTTTTTTTCGTCTACATTTAATGTTCCATACACGTATCGTAAGATTCGATATGATGACTGCTGCAGCACTTTTTAAATTTTTTTGAAACTAAACAAGCCCATGCGAAGGATCCGTAAACCATCTCCGCTGTCACAGTGGATTGGTTCATGCGCATTATCCGGGGAAAGACCGCATGTGCAGGTGGTAATACCGGGGTGCGGGCGCCTGGCCGAAAAAGTACAGCAGCCTGCACGAGCACGACGACTGCACGAGAGCGCCCTCTTCGCGGCGCGCCGTTGGTGAAGGCCACCAACAGCACCAAGGACCCAGCCGAACCTACCCTAGTACTGCCTCCGTTTTACCGCGCTAAACCCGACCCCTTTTCGTCCGGTTCGTTGGGGGGTTTGTTTGGCTAATTTAATGTAACAGGAGGTTTACCTCTTGCGGTGCGGTGAAACAAGCATCCGCTCCACCATTACCGACACAGGGCCCCAGAAATGGCAATGCTTAGGCCCCGTTCAGTTGCGAAAATTTTTAGCTTTTGGCTACCGTAGCACTTTCGTTTGTATTTGATAAAAAATGTCCAATTATGGACTATTTAGGCTTAAAAGATTTGTCTCGCCAATTACAGGTAAACTGTGCAATTAGTTATTCTTTTTACCTACATTTAATACTCCATGCATGTGCCGCAAGATTTGATGTGACGGAAAATCTTGAAATTTTTTGGATTTTGGTGGAATCTAAACAGGGCCTTAAACGAAAACAAAGGAGCGAGCCCAGCAGGCAGCAAGACAGGCCTAAGCTTTCCTTAAATAGGTATGTACAGCAAGACAGGCCTAAGCAACCCCCTTGCCCAGCCCAGCCCTCACCTGCTCACCATCACCTTTGGCAGTTTGGCACTGCAGTCTCGTCACAATCCGATCGAGCATCAGCATGACGGCGCCTGGTTGAGGTCGAAGGGGAGGCTGCCGCGCCTTTGTCCCCTGCCCAGCTCCAGCGCCGTTGACAGTGGCTCGGTTGCCATCGGCATCGCTGCACCTGCAGTCGGGGGAAGCGGGGCGGCCGCGGCCGTTGTCGGGGCCTGCAAGTAGACGAAATGCCACGGAGTAGGGCCGTCGACGTCGACGCCTCCGAACGAGACGGGCTGCGGCGGTGGCTGACGCAGGAGCGGCGCCAGATGGAGGTGCTGCAGCTGCTGCTGGGCGGCGTGGTCGGGGAAGTTGGTCTTGGCCTTGGCGCCGCGGAGGGTGCGCGCGGCGCGGTCGTACGCGAGGGCGGCCTCCACGGGGGTGTCGAACGTGCCCAGCCACACCCGCGTCTTCTTCCACGGGTCGCGGATCTCGGCCGCGTACCTGCCCCACGGCCGCTTCCTCACGCCCCGGTAGCGCGCGGCGCCTCCTTCTCCTTCCCTCGCCCCGCCGTCGCCTCCGCCATGGCCCAGCACTGCCCGTAGAGTGGGATCCATCCGGGATCGAGAGCTGAGAGGTGTAGTGTAGGGCTTGGTGGGTACAGCAACGTGCGTGGTGTTTGAGAATGACTGGGAGAGTGGGAGAGCACGGAGGAGAGCAGGTACGTTGGGCTTTTGTGAGCAAATGGTTAGGGCACGTTTAGTTCGTGAAAAGTTTTTTGGCCACGAGAAATGGGGCAGGTTTCGTTTGTATTTGGTAATTAATGTTTAATTAGGAGAATTAGGTTCGAAAGTTTTGTCCGTGATTTCTCGTACCGGTGGCCGGTTAATTTTTTTTCGTCATATTTAATCACGGCACAGCCGCCGCAAATATTCGACGTGATGCCGGGACCAAAATTTTTTGGAACTAAACGCGCCCTTGCTCCTACTACACATCTGTGATCCATCCGGCCACGAGAAATGGCGCGGGTCGTAACCGGAGAGAGAGAGAGAGAGAGAGGGTATCGGGTTGGGGTCCGGACTCCGTAGCGGTGGCCGGTGGGCGTGGCAGGGGCAGTGGGGAAGCACGGCACAGCCGCCGCGACATTTGACGTGTTGCCGGGACCACTCCACTAGTCCTGCCACCAGTAACGCTGTGCTGTGCACGGTGAACACCCCCGCGGTCCATTCCCATGTGAACTCTCGCGTCCATCATGACGCCAGCTCTGCACACTACTCCCTCTGAGGCTCTGAAGTCTCCAGCGTCTCCAGCTCTGTCCGGGCAATTTCGCATCCACACAGCTGCTGCTGGTGCAGTAGTGCCTGCCCTGCCAAACGTCGTGCAAGCGAGCGGCGCCGAACGGAGCAGCAACTTTTCCACGCCGCTGGGACCTACGAGTCAGTGAAACTTGCATGCATGCACATCCCTGTCGTCCGCAGTCCGCTTTCCTTTCCCTCGGACTGTTTTGTCGTCTACTCGCCGCGAGCAATAAAAGGTGGCGGAGACAGGACCAAAACGCGACGTGCTCACACAAACGTCGTGCTCACATTCACCGGATGCCAGACGCATATGTGTCATTTTACGTTTCTACTAATCTAACCTTGTGCTTTCTGGGACGGAGGGAGTACATGATCATTGGTCAGGACGACGACGCGTGAACGCGCACACCGCCGGCGCGCGACGTGTCATGGGTCCGTTGGCCGCAGGTTCACGTGGGAGGAAGCGTGTCGTGGGGTGGGGGACAGCACGGGCTGGGTGGGTGTGGGTCGTATCGCCGCTCATCAAGGCAAGGGACCCAGAGAGGCCCATGGCGGCGACTGGTGAGGCCGTGAGGCCGGGAGACGTGGGTGCGGTACGGCGTTTCGTTGACGTGGGCAGCGCTGCGAAGCAAGCGGCCGCTCTACTACAGTCCTGTTTTGACGTCCTGTTCCTATCCCTTGCCACTTCGCCATGGATGTGCCGTGCCTTCGAAGGCACGCCGAACATTTTCCGGAATCAGGGGGGCAAACATGCTTGTCAAAATGACCTGGGAAGTTTCTGGTTTATGCGCACTCGTAGTACACACAGTCAATAGACATCCAATGGAGCTTACTCCACTACTTAGCATAGGGCAATCATGGTTTCTTCGAACAAGGAAAAGGCAAAACAAAAATAAAGAGAATTATATTTTTAAGCAAAATAAAGAGAATTATATACCACTCGTTAGTCGTTAGTAGTATCTACAGTGTTTCTTCAAGGATAGTCATTTTTTTAAAGGATAACCATGCATGGAAGCCATTATCGGAAAAGGAAAAAAAATTAACCTTCACGGCTAGAGATTAGAGCATCTCCAAGAGACTATTAAAAAAATTTGCTAAATTTACTGATTTAGCTATTCTCTAAAATAGAATCCACCTAAAAAAACTAGACCAATCCAACAGCCTCTGTAAAAGTTTTTCATTATGTATATTCAAAGCTGCCACGTCATGTGGACTTTTTCGGATCATAGCATCGCGTAGGAATTTCTCCGTCACAGGGCTCCGTCGCTCTGTTCACCGGCAGTCGTTCTTCGTGCATAGCATGCTTGCTTGACCGACAGCTCTTGGTAGACAGCTTTGCATGCCTGTCTGCCATGCCCATGCATACGTACGTGCATGCAGGGAGCCAGCGAGGTGGTTGCACAGGAACAAGACGAAGAGGCCACACCATGGTCCATGGATGCCACTGCTCCGAATCGAGTGGAAGAAACAAAGAGAAGAAGCTACGAGCGAAGCACCGATGGCTACTTTCCGGCCTGCCGGGAGCGAGCGTATGTAATAACCAGTCCAGCGTGCGATCAAGGCGCGTTCGCGCGGGAAGTGGCGACCATACGCGGGAACGGGCTGCCGAGCACACGCAGAGCCGCGATAGCGAGCGACATTGGCTAGCCAATGCTAGCGACCGAAATTTCCGGGATGGACAGTGAGCTATTTTGGAGAGGCATTTGCACAATCTGTTGGAGAAGTTTTTTTTCTCAATAATAGCCATATTTAGCTTTACAAAATATTTTAACTAGTCTCTTGGAGTTGCTCTTAGATGTGAAAGCAATCACAAATTTTAGCTGTGGTTTAGCATGTTGGTTTGGAAATGACATGAGATGAGGTGATCCCATCCCTATGCTTTGGATGAGACCATCTCGTCTCATATTTGCTCAAAAAAGATAGGTACATTATACTTTTCGATTTAGTAGAGGGGCGGAGACGAATGAGGTGGATAGACTTTTGACACCACCATTAACAAGGATTAACTATGGGGCCCACCTGTTATCCGTGGGATCTACACGGCAGCTTGGTTGCAGGCGCCACTTGCCGGGAACTCAATATTGGCCGACGCGAGCTTAATGGTCGCCGCTAGCTCTGGCGCAACTGAGCCTCCTGAACCACCATATTCAAGAAAACTCACCATCTGATGAGAACATCAATCCTCGGGTGTAACCGCTGCTCCAATAACCACCATGGCAAGGGCCAATGACTAGACCTCGAACATGGCAATTAAATCTAGAGGTGAGCTCGTTTTTAAGCGATCATTTTCATGATTATGAGAATATATTGTTACCAATTGATGTAATCGTTCTTAGTAACATTGGAGAGGGTCATGAAGAACTTGGAAAAAGGCACGAAGGTAAAGAAGGCCAGCATTGGCATCCAAGTTAAGAGGGAGGTCCAGCCCAAGTTGAGTTCAAGTCCACCTCAGTCTCCAGGAGCATGACACCGTTTTCTACATTCTACCTATGCTCGAAAAGATAATTTCATAAGCTAACCAATGAGATTAGTGTCACATCAAAATTCTAGCTGAGTCAACTAGAACGGTCGAAACAATGCAGCATCTGGAATCTACCGGAGTGGTGCAATATCGTGTTTTGGTTTGCTAGGTCGTGTATCGTCTTAGAGACCATTTGGGGGCGCATCCAAGGGGTATGCAAACCCCCAAAGACTATACCTTCAGTAGCTGTCACCCAAGTTTGGGTTTAGGGTGAGTGTGCGTAGTATATGTATGAGTATCTACGGCTGTGTTTAGTTGGAGAGGAAAGTTGGAATTTTGGTACTGTAGCACTTTCGTTTTTATTTGGCAAATAGTGTTTAATCATGGACTAATTAGGCTCAAAACGTTCGTCTCACGATTTTCAACCAAACTGTGCAATTAGTTTTTTTTTCGTCTACATTTACTGCTCCATGCATGTATCGCAAGATTCGATGTGACGGATACTGTAGCACTTTTTTGGAACTGAACACGCGCTACATCTGTATTCTAATCCGCAAGAAAAAAAAATTACTTGCCACTTTTCCAAATCAGTATTCTTATAGGGGAAAATATGTCGTGGCAACCACATAATAGGTAGGAACATTGAAACTAAATAATAAACATATTTTAGTTGTTCAACATCTTTTGAATTTTGCAATATCCATAGTGCGTACAAATATGTACTCATGTGTAAAAGTTGGGATACAAATTCAAACTAAAAAATCATTTAAAATGCCAATTTTAGATGCATGTGCACTAGAAGACAAAATCATAGAAATTTATATTTCAGTGCAAATGCACTTGAAATTTATTACTTTCGTATGGGTTTTTAAAAGTGAATTTGCATCTAACATTTGGCGTATGATTACATATTTGTATGCACTAAGTATGTGCCAGATTTGTTGAACAAATAAATACGTTTTTGAATCGATTTCCATATTTTTATCTAGTACTCCCTCTGTCTATTTCTAAGTGTCGCTATTGTATTTATGCTGGCCAAACTTTATATCTTGAAACAAGTTTGTTATGAAAATAGATTTAATTATTTATCTAATGATGATACTAATTATATAACATAAATATTAATATTTTGTTGTGTATATTTAGTTAAACTTGAGTATGTTTGACTTTTCGGGAAGTGGGATTGATAATTAAAAAGGGATGGAGGAAGTACGTGGTTTGCACCACATATCTTACCTTCTTATATCTAGTCTTGTTGTCATAAAAGTGCATCTCTAATTTTATCCTACGTTAAACAATATTCTTTTGTGTTCGTACCCTCACTTTGAGGCTAATGGTGATTGTTGTGTTCATACCGTTATCTTATATAAGATACTTTTTTGCGAATTTATATAAGATACTCTTGTGTTGATATACTCCCGCATCTCTAGAATACCATTTGTTTATGACACGAAATGAATAATGTTACATTTATTATGAAATATATATTTAAGATTTTATGTTATATAAATATTGACACTCTTAAATCTAAGTTTGTTTATATAAAAGAATATCATTTGTTTATGATACGAAATAAATAATGTTAAGTTTTACTATGCATCTATTTTCAAGGCATATCTATTTTATATTATAAGATTTTTTTTTAGATTATCCGGAGCTTTATATTAGCCGTGAGCAAGGTTACAATCATCATCAATGATAACTCGTAGGCCTGGTGGAGCTAACAGCCACTCATCCACCGGATTGCCACGAGAAACCAATTTAGCACACTCATGAGCTAACCCATTACATTTTCTAGTAACAAAGCATAAGCTGAAAAACTCAAAGCTCCGGCTTAGTTCCGCCATTTGGTGCATAA